TCCTCTGTTGTCATTTCAGTAGTCTTCACCAGAATTAGAGTCCATCTCAAGAAACCCTTTCTTTGCTCATCTGTAAGAAGCAACTCCTCATCTGTCACAGAGCTTTATTGTGAGATTGCAGCAATTCAGTCACATCTTCAGGCTCCACTTCTAATTCTAGTTTTCTTAACTGTTTCTACCACATCTACAGTGACTCCTCCATTGAAGTCTTGAACCCCACGGGGGTTGGAATCAACTTCTTCCAAACTCCTGTTACTGTTGACATGTTGAGCTCTTCTCATGAATCACGAATGTTCTTCATGACATCCAGAATGGTGAATCCTTTCCAGAAGGTTTTCAATTTACTTTGCCCAGATCCATCAGAGGAATCACTATCTATGGCAGCTAAACCGTCTTACGAAATGTATTCATTAAATAATAAGACCCGAAAGTTGAAATTACTCCTTGATTCATGGGCTGCAGAATGGATGTTGTGTGAGCAGGCAGGAAAACATCATTAATCTCGTACATCTCCTTCAGAGCCCTTGGGTGACCAGGTCAACGAGCAGTAATATTTTGAAAGGCATCATTTTTTCTGAGCAGTAGGTCTCAACAGTGGGCTTAAAATATTCAGTAAACCATGCTGTCAACAGATGTGTTGTCATCCAGTCTTTGTTGTTCCACGTATAGAATGCAGGCAGACAAGATTTAGCAGAATTCTTAAGGGCCCTAGGATTTTCGGAATGATAAATGAGCACAGACTTCAGCTAAAAGTCACCAGATGCATTAGCCCCTAACAAGAGAGTCAGCCAGTCTTTAGAAGCTTTGAAGCCAGACATTGACTTCTCCTCTCTAGCTATGAAAGTCCTAGATGGCATCTTCTTAAGTGGAAGGCTGTTTCATCTACACTGAAAATCTGTAATTTAGTGTAGCCACCTTCATTCCTTACCTTAGCTAGATATTATGGGTAACTTGCTGCAGCTTCAACATCAGCACTTGTGGCATCACCTTGTATTTGTATGTTATGGAGACATACAAATACAAGCCTCTTTCCTAAAACCTCATGAACCAACCACCTCTGCTAGCGTTAAACTTTTCCTCCTGCAAATTCTTCACTTCTCTCAGCCTTCAGAACCAGAGAGTTAGGACCTTGCTCTAGGTTAGGTTTTGGCTTAAAGGAATGTTGTTGCCGGTTTGATCTCTCCAGACCACTAAAGTTTTCTCCGTATCAGCAATAAGGCTGTTTTGTTTTCTTATCATTCGTGTGTCCACTGAAATAGCAGTTTTAATTTCATTCAGGAAGTAACTTTTCCTTTGCATTCACAACTTGACTAACTGTCTAGCACAAGAGGCCTATCTTGCTGCCCATCTCAGCTTTTGACATGTTTTCCTCACTAAGCTTAATCATTTCTAGTTTTTGATTTAAAGTCAGAGACATGGGACTCTTCTTTCACTTGAACACTTGGAGGCCAACTCAGGGTTATTAATTGGCCTAATTTCAATACTGTTGTGTCTCAGGGAATAGGGAGGCCCGAGGAGAGTGAGAGAGATGAGGAACAGCTTGTCAGTGGAGCAGTCAGAATACACACAACATTTATGGATTAAGTTCGCCGACTTATATGGGTGCAGTTCATGGTGCCCCAAAACAATTATAATAGTAACCTTAAAGATCACTGATCACAGGTCACCATAGCAAATATAATAATAATAATGAAAAAAGTTTAAAATATTGTGAGAATTACCAAAATGTGACACAGAGACATGAAGTGAGCAAGTGTTCCTGGGAAAATAGAGTTGATAATCATGCTTATATAGCACAGGGAACTATATTCAATACCTTGTAATAACCTATAATGGAAAAGAATCTGAAAAAGAATATATGTAGATACCTATAACTGAATCAGTTTGCTGTACACCTGAAACTAATACAACATTGTAAATCAACGATACTTAAAAAAAGAGACACGCTTGATGCAGGGTTCCTGCAAACCTTCAATTTGTAAAAATCAAAGTATCTGTCAAGTACAGTAACGCGCAGCACAGTAAAATGAGGTGTGTGTGCCCTGAATACAGAGCGTATAAAATAGAAGCTACAAGTTGTGTCCTGTGTCCCCCTTTCAATTCTGTTTTTGCGAAGTAGCAATGTTAAGTTTGCCATATGTCTTCCCAAGACATCTTTGAGTATACGATTAGCATATATCAAAAAACACTACACAAATAGGACTTTTATTCTTACTAATTCTATGATTTGCTTATGTCACTTAATAGTGTAGGTACCTTTCCATGACAGCGTATGTAGATTTACCTCATTCTTTCTTAGCTCAAAGATTACACTACGTTCTCTCTTTGACTGAATATAGCTTACTTTAACCTCTCTCTTATAAATGGAAATACGGAGTGCGTCTTTGTTTTTTGCCATTATGAATTTATCTTTAGGGTCAATTTCTTGAAATGGAATTGTGGAGTAAAAGGAAGCTTATTTAAAATTTGGTAAGTATCACCTGATAGCTCTTCGAAAGGCTATGGCTACATAATTTTTAAATCAGATTTATGTGTGTCCGCACACATGTGCACAATATTGAATTTAGTCTTTACGGCAGTATTTATTTAAGGGGAAGTGAGTGTTTTAAGAAATAACCTTTCATCTCCTTGTTGTATGTGAAGTGCTTAGAATGGTTTCTGAAACATACTAAGAGCTATCTAAATGCTATAATTATTTTTGTTTGCTTAATTCCCTTCTATTTTGAAAATTGAAAATCTTACTAATTTTTTCACATATCCTTATTTTGAAAACCGTCAGCATGTGGACCTAAGTTGCTGTTAGTGTGTTCTGTGTTGTAATGGGATTCATCCTCAGATTTCTATCTTTAATTGTCACAATCACTGTTTTTTAAATAGTTATTATGGACTTAAAGGTTATGTATGCAGTACAAAGTGTGTTTTGATTGGCTTGTCTTCCTTCACTGGCATTCCGTTAACAGATAGTCAATTACCACCATTTGCTAGTTTTTGTTGTTACCTCCAGTTAATAAAAGTCAGTGACTTAAGAGAGTTCATTGAAACTTGAAAGTAATGATGAAAATGAGAATATGTCTCAACTTGTAAACTTGTACAGTGAACTGGATTGCCATTTAAATATAAAACATTCATGTATATAGTCTTGGAGAAGTAAATCTTTGTGATAACTTTGAAAGTATTTGAAAAGGAAAGTACGAACAAAATCTGTGATGACTATCAAAATGACTATCTCTGGTTCTCTATACATTTGATGTTATGAAACATGTTCATAGAATGTTCCCATTCAGGCTTTTGCAATGTTTTTCAACAAAGTGTAATAGTATATTGAAGAAGTTAACTCGAGAATAATTTAATCAATAAACTTGGTTAGTCATGTCATTAAATGCAGAGAAGAGAGGAAAGCATAGAGGCATCTTTCACAGTTGTACTCCCTGCCTCAGCAACAGGTACAAGTCAAAATCATTCCTTGAAATTTCTAAAACCATTCACAAAGAATGGACAAATTCTCTGCAAGAAAGCTGAGCGAGCTATTGGCAAAATTTCTTTATCAGTGCACCTATAACATATTGCAAATGGGACACTTCCCTGGTGGCACAGTGGCTAAGAATCAGCCTGCCAATGCAGGGGACACGGATTCAATCCCTGATCCGGAAAGATTCCCTCATGCTGCAGAGCCGCTAAGCCCGTGCACCACAGCTACTCAGCCTGTGCTCTAGAGCCCACACGCCACAACTACTGAAGCCCACGTGTTCTAGGGCCAGCGTGCCACAACTACTGAGCCCGCATCCTGCAACTACTGAAGCTCACGCACCTAGAGCCCGTGCTCCACAACAAGAGAAGCCACCACAATGAGAAGCCCGTGCACTGCAATGAAGAGTAGCCTCCTCTTGCCGCAACTACAGAAAGCCCGTGTGCAGTAAGGAAGACCCAAGGCAGCCAAAAATTTAAAAACTAAAAAAAAAAAAAAAGAGGACCCGAGTCCATTAATAACAACAACAAAATATTTAGATATTGCTAATGGCACAATGGCATACGTTGTGAGAGAGGAATCACATCCATGTGTGGCAGTCATCAGATGTTATGCTTTGCATTCAGGTGAAACTCCTTGTGTACAGAGTATGCATCAGCTCTTCGCATACATACAATTTAAATATGAGAAGTACTTGATTATTTTTTGTCTGTTTAAAAGAGTAATTCCAAGCTAAAGGAAAATAAATTCTTTGTTTTATTAATATTCATTTTGAGAGCAATGATAGAGTTTCAATATTGATAGAGCACCAGCTATGTGTGGACAGTATGTGTGGTATTACTGAATGAAAGAACTTGAGCCTGAATGTTAATTCACATACTTCTTTTGCAGTTAGTTGTGTGTTTACTTATATGGCTCTAGTGTTGAAGATATTGGTGAAAAGTTTGAATAAGATCAAATATGGCCAGCATGCACATTTTCAGCGTCTTCTGTGAAAAAAATTGGCTGCTGTTCCTTTCTGTAATGCACTAGTTATGAGAGGGCTTAGTTCTTATGTAACTTTTTGAAGTGTAGAAGGAGATTTCTCTGTGTTTTCATAAGGGGTACATCTCAATGCTGTATGTATTATCTTGACAGCCAGAAGTTTATGCTTCAGTATACCACCAACTAACTGGTGAGAATAAAGTACAGTATTCCCCCCTTATCTGCAATTTCACTTTCCGAGGTTTCAGTTAACGGCAGTCAACCACAGTCTGAAAATACTACATGGAAACTTCCAGAAATAAATTATTCATAAGTTTTAAATTGCTTGCTCACCATTCTGAGTAGTGTGATGAAATTGCTTCTCATCAGGAGATTTAAGAAAACTAAAAAAGCTGCACTGATTCTGAATTGCTCGATATTGTGATAAAGATAAGTTTTTAAAAGTAGAGCTGTAAACCACATTAATAAACACTTTCCTAAACTCTTTGAATTTGAGTTATTATGCCATATTTACTCACGTTATGATATTGTTCTTGCCATTCTTTGACAGACCCCTTATCCCTCTGGACAGAATGCAGGTCCAACCACGTTGGTATACCCTCAAGCTCCTCAGACAATGAATTCACAACCTCAGACCCGTTCTCCGGTAAGTAAGCAAAAACTTGTTCTAGATAATATTCTCCACCTAAGTTTGTGTTTGTAGTAGCTTAGGTTCTTTTGGCTAGTATTTTTACTCGATTTTGGAAAATTTTTACCAAAATAATTTTTTAAATTATTATTACTATTATTATTGGATGGCATTGCATTTTCAGACCTTTCCTATAGGAATAATTTGAATTTATTAAGAACAAGAAGAAATGGAGCTTTTTATCTTCTTTTACTTTTCTGTGTCATTCAAGTTCTGGTTGCATTCAAGTTCACTTCATCTCAGCTCTTAATTTGTTATTTGTACTGTTCAAAATTCAGGAGAAGTGTAAAGCATGATTTTGAAAGTAAATTAAATTTCATTAATTGGACTCTGAAATTCCAGTGTTTTGGGAAGTAAGACTTCTGAATCGTTACTAGATCAGTTCTAACTATTTGACTGTGTGGACATATGCATGACTTACACCAAAAGTGTATTTATTTCTTCAGACGGTAAATAAATTGTCATACAAGTGTAAGTGCTATCATCCTCTTTGCTCATCTTTTACATGGATTGCAATAAGTATTGCAAATACTGAGAATTTACTCAAGGTTCATCCTTCTGTTTCACAAAAGTGTACAGTGGCTTCAGCTGTCCATTCCTTAGAATGTTGTTTCCTGCCCTGCATGGTTTGTATTTTGCTAGAAGGTGCTTCTATAACATCTCACATTGTCTCTCACACCCCTACTTGTATCTCAGCTCTGTGTTTTCCTCAGAATACAGGGATCTTCTTTTGGTTCTCCACCTTTGCTTTTTTGCCTGTAGTACAGGAATATTTCATTGCATTAGCTCCTGTTCATTTGGTTTTATGCATGAATTTAGGAATATTGAAATATGTGATAGAATTGCTCAGAGAACTAGGAGATCACAGACTTCACCAAAATGTAATCTCTTTCTTATCCTCCTCCTACCTTCCTTTTCCCTATTGCCCTCTTCTCCAATACCTGTTCTTAGATCCTGGTTCTTCCCAGGGGGTGGAACCATTCTAAGGAGGTGGGACTTTGGTCCTAGTTGCCTGTTTGCTTGTCTGGGTTTTTTTGTTTGTGTTTTGGGGTTTTTTTGCCGAAATGGTCAAAAAGGCATCTGATGCAAGTTTTGTTCTGAGAGTGGTTTGGGAATGTGGACACTTGACTACTTGGAATGGGCCTGAGATCTCACCAGATTAATCTAGATAGGCCCCAGTTCTAATCATTAAACATGGAACGTTGTGGTAAGCTCTTATTGCAAAGGATTCTATGGCCCTTTTTTACCCCTCTACCCCTTCTATAATTATCGGGGGAAAAAAAAAAGAAAGAATTAAATTTACATGGTTAGAACTGGCGCAAAACCTGACTGAAGAGCTGCATCTCTAAACCAGTTTTTTTGACAGCCCAGCAGAACAGTGCCAATACATTGCACAGACAACTGGAAGAGGAGGAAGGTTTTGGAACAGACTCCCGTTTACAGGTCCTTGGCTGGAAGAGGCTGGATAAAATACTGCATTGTAAGCAATATAACAAACTGTACTTCTTGCAGGCAGTGGTGCCTCTGGCGCTCATTATTTTTGACCACATCCATTTATTGGCTGATGAACACAAACGCACTGATTGCTTCCTCTCTGAAAGTCTAACCTAGCATGGCAGTTTTTGCCAGGCATAGTGGGGAAAAGAATAACAAATTGGGTGGCTCTTCTCTATTGGGAATTAGACAGGAGTAATTTGGGGTTTAGATTGTTCTTTATTTTAAACTTGAAGAGGGATATCCCTTTCAGATGAATTTGATTTTAAAAGATAAATTTCAAGGCTTCTTTTTCCCTCTTTCCATTTTATAATTGAATATCAAGGGGAAAACTGTCTATAGTTGTCAGCCATTTTTCTGTGGTCATAAACTCTTCAGACACTATCCTCTCTGCAATTTTTACCATCCGCTCTGCTAGTGACCATTACCACCCCCATTACTAAAAACCACACATAACATTCCATTACATACCCCAAAACAAGTGCAAGACTAGCAGACCCCACACTACTCTTGCTTGTTGTTTTGGGTCCAGTTTTCTTTGCTTCATTTGTGTTGGTGCTGGGAGGGTGAAGTTGGGTTTGGAATTTGGCAGGATTGCATTTCTTCTGACATCCCAAGTTGCCATAGTCTAGTCTCATCCATCCCACAGCTATCCCAACTGGTGAGGAGAGGTAAGCTGTTGCACTAAGGAAGGGACTCTTCCCATGGCTTTGTAGAGCAGCTAAAGCTTACTCCGTTCTATTTCTGCATTAATGGGCCATTGGCAATTGCACGGTTTAGGCTTCTCTGTTCTTCCCTGGACAGCTGCCTTTGCAATCCAACTGGCTTCAAGTGGCCCCCCTCCCTCCTTGAGGTGATCTTTGTGTCTGTATTTCTACTTGATACTTAGTATCTTAGTTAAATTTATATTGTTGAAAGTCTTGTTTAAAAGTAAAAAATATAGTGATAAGTTACCTATATGTTCCATTTTCTGGTTGTATTGGAACTCTTTAAACTGTAATTTTTTTTTTAAATAGCTTCCAAAATAGTGAAACTATTGAATGCTTAATGGGGAGAGGGGGACAGTTTGGCTTTTGCAGTAACCTGTAACCATTGGTTATTTTTACATTCTGTGGTGCTAAGTGCCAAAGTTATATCAATATATGTTGGCCATGCTCAGTTACCAACTGTGCACAGAAGAGTGAGTGAGTGGGTGGGTGGGTGAGTGGGTGGCATTAATGTTGGATCCAAGTTCACAGAAGATTGCTTTCCTTGATATCTACAGTCCTCACCATCTTAAAGACCCCTCTTTAAAAAGAAAAAGAAAAAGAAACAGAAGTTTCTATTTTTAATCTGAGCCAGCAGCGACTACAGTTTGTTCTGTTGCTTACAGTTACGCATAGGATTAAGACTATTGTCATTACAAATGAAAAACTCAATAGCCAATGGTGACTAGTGCAAAATAGACTAGGGTACTTGCCCACTAACTTTTTTTTTTAATATATGTGTAATTCTATAAGGTACTCCTCTTGCTCATAGAAAATTCTCTTTTGACTGGAACATTCCAAATATATAAAGTTTCAACTATTATTTTAGAGCCTTAGAAATGGGGCCTTTCTGTGGAACAGTGATAAGACAGGTACTACTGTACTAAGGTTAATTTTTTAACGTGGCCCTTCTCTTCCATTTCCTTCAAAAGTGTCACGAAGAAACATCTCACTTCTACCCGCCCCCCACTTTAATACCACCTGGGTGGTATTAACCTATTCTTGAAGCTTGATGTCCATAGTAGAGGTTTGATCTGTGTTCTTTTCATAGTTGGAAAACTGAAAATATAAGACATCAGTATCTTTGAAGAGAAAATGTTCTGCAAGAACTGTAGCTGCCATTATCATCATTCTGAAAAACTATTTTACAATGGTTGTTAGCAGATATAATGGCTGGCTAACACACTTTAATCGTACAGGTCATGGAGAGCTCATTAAGTTGTACTGAATAACTGCAAAATATGTTAAGGTACTTTTCATTACTTGAATAATAGGTATACATTTTAGCTTCTAAGGTAAATTCTTGATAGAGCTGTCTTCAGTCATCTCCTACATTGTGGCTTGTGACCCACTGCAATTTCTTGAAAATTTTTTATATTAAGTAATGGCAGTGAAGGAAATAATTCCAAATCTCTTGCATATGCTATTGTGGGTAACTTAAATTCTGAGTATGAGGGTTGGTTTCTTAGTTCATCTTCGGTCTGGTTTACCCATTATAATGAGCTAACGGAAGGAGGGCTCAAACAACTGAAGGAAAATATGTATTTTAGCTTTTTAAATGTTTTAAGTAAAATCCTTGTAAGGTTTGCATTCAGAACTGCTCACTAAATATTTTCCGTTAACTGTTAAAGAGGGTGGTTAACGTTTCAGTAGTTAATGTGTAGGTAGCCAGTACGTGACTCTATGAGCCTGAATAATTCCTCTGTTCTTTTTAGTAAAATCACCCTGGAAGCCCAGTTTTGCTCTGATGAAGAATTATTTGATCTTAGAGATTTTGTATTTAAAATTTGATGGGTGAAAAGGCTTTTTCTTCCATTCTAAGTTAGTGAAAGTAAGAGTTGGAATATGTATTATCCGCTTTCAAGTACTCTATGATTTAGCTAAGAGGTTAGGTTTTCTTTGGCTTTTATTCTCAATATCAGATAGCAGTAGGTACATGTATACAGTCTTGTGCTGTTGTGTATAAATAGTAATTGAGAGATTTGACTTCTTTTACTCATTTTTTCTTCTTGAGCTTATAATAGTACCACTTTGATTACTCATGTTACAGAATGATGTTCTTTACTACTGTTTGCTTTCATATGCCTGGTATTAAACATTACTAGTTAATTGAATTTAAATATATATAATTATTTATATATTTACATATATTTATATATCATAAATATATTATATATATTTATATATGCTTATATATTTATAATAGATAAACTTTAATCTTCAAGAAACAAAGGAAGATACTGAAATTTTCATTTCATGTGTGAGATATCCATTTAACTTAAGTAAATTTGAAATCCATCCTATTACATTCTTTATTTCCTGCTGGACATTGTAATTACCTCCTGGCTATTTCTTGTAATGTAAAAGCATTTCTCATTCCCTCTAGTTGTATCAGTTGCATAAGCATAGTTGACTTTTCATATGTTTGTCTTAATATAACCACTTAGTGTTTCAAACTTTCTTTTGCTTTATTTTAGGGTTTAAAAAAATTCCTATCAGAGAAGCACCTTTATGTGCCTAACAGCTTAGCTGTTTCTCTCCCCGCTGATAAATGGCAAACTATTTCTGGTAGAGGTGTTAACCTCTTGACTCTCAGTACCTGTCTGTCACTGTCCTGCAGCAAAGCTTTGACTGTTTGTGTTTTTTTTTTCTTGTGGGTTTTATTTCTTTTGGCATAATGTGTGACATTTTGGTTTTTGTTGTGGTGTTTCTGACTCT